TTAATTGGTTTTCTATTCTTAATTTGATTTTTCTATGTTGGTTTATGAGATTTAATTGTTCATTACTGTTGAGTTCATTCACTCGGGTAATTCAAATAGTAGTCGCATGTCTCACCAGTAGTCTAGAGCTTTGATTTTGTACATTTAGTTATAAGAAAAGTAAAACAATAATTGTAAATTAGAAGAATGGCAAAATGATTTATTTTAATTAATAAAACGGTAGAATATGTGAACAATTTTCATAGATATGTATACTCATTTTCTTCCGAGTTGTAATTCGATTGACAACGATTCACGAAATTTAGATCGTAAAATGTAATTAATTACGAAAACTCCGCTATAAAATCAAAAACGAATTTTTACAAACCTTAAAAATTTATTTTCGGTTCCCAACTGATTTTTTGTTTTGTTATTAAAATATAACTGTGAAAAAAAAACTTAACAAAAGAACCTATGATACATATAATTTGTCTTTTCATTAAGATGACGAAATGGCCGGATATATATATATAGCATGAAACATGGGTATAGAAAGAGTACGAAATCTCAAAATAATTCCACTCTTCCAAAACTAAACAATGAAGCTTGTTTACTATTTGTCACTACTTGATTACTAACTATTGATCGTTCCAAAACTAAACAATGCACATATATAATAAATTCAAATACACGTGTTCGAGTGGTTACGACATATAGAGCAGAACCATCTAATATTTGTAATCGCATTCACCCGTTACTTACCTGCAAGTGCTTGCGAGATGAGGCCAAACAAATGACGTGCCCATAATGCGTTATCCTCGAGGGCCAACGCAGTTATCGTGTCCGGACCACCAAGATGTAACAACAAGAACGGTGCCCACAAAGCAAGTAGCTTCTTGTTCTTTGGAGGATCATCAGGTTTCACTTCTTTCCCTTGGTTCTTCGTGATTTGAGACACCGCATAGTTAGCGGTCCAATCCGCTAAAAGATACGAGGTCCATATAACCGCTGCAAGAAACTTCTTCGATGTGCGTTTTCGCAGTGGCGCGAGGAAGATAAGAAACGTTTGGAACAAGAGAGACAGTATTACAAGTCCTCTGATGTTCCATTTGTCTAAGATCTTTTTGATTGGTGGTGGAATCACATGCATTGTGATTTGTTGTCACTCTTTTTTTTTTGTTTTGTCTGAAAATACTATAAGCTCGTTAAGTATCAAATTTGATGTTTCATGCTCTCTTACTCAGGGTATATATACATTAGAATATTTGCTTGTGAATATATACTAATTTTGTCTGAATATATATATACATTAAAATACAAAAACAAAAAAAGAATATATAACTATTTGACCGGAAATTTATAAATGAAGTTATTTGACGTAACACGTGAATCAGTTTCTCCTACTTTTAATTATCAGATTTTGCATTCCTTTCTTATATTCCACGGTAGCTCTTTAAACAAGGGCTTTTTTTTTGGCAGAATAAAATATTCTTTCCTTGTCGATAATAAAAATCATGAAAATGAAAATCACACTTTAGTCTTCTACACATGTTCTTTAAAAATGGTTCAACAATTTTTTACTTTTTGAATTTTTTTATAAGAATTTTCTCTCTATTAGGGTTTTGGTTTTGTTTATGTTCACCAAATAACAAACTTTTACAGAGTGTGAAGTGAAAAAATATTTTTAAACAAGAGATATTCGTGAGTGTATTTGATTTAGGAGCTAATAAATTTAAATCACCGTAATCAACCCGCTGTTTTTTCTTCTTCTATTTTATCACTTAGAAAAACTCATTTTCATCGCAGATCCTATGTTATCTATATATAATAGCAAACCCAAAAAAATAATAATTTTGGGGTGTGCCTTCTCGGTTTATATATAGTGGTTGTTTTTAAGGGTTTTATATTTTCAAAATGTTGTGTCTTTTCGAAAAAAAAATGTTTGGTGGTTATTTCTAAAAGTTACATCTTCTCGATATAACTGTTTTGTCAAAAGTTGCGTCTTTCCGATATAACAGTTTTGTCAAGAGTTACATTTTTTCGACATAACCGCTTTATGGTTATTTTTAAGGGTTGCGTCTTTTCAAAACAAACCATTTCGCCTATATATATACTCCCTCTATTTCAAAATATAAGTTGTTTTGGAGGTTTTTTTATTTTAAAATATAAGTTGTTTTGACAATCTTATGTACTTTTTAACTTTATTAAATACTGTGTGACTAATAATATTATGCAGTTTCTTTTTTTATTTGG